GTAGTCGTCAACCACCAGTAGGAAGTAACGCTCGTGACCCTGTCCACGGACACGGGCTGGGCCCCACACGTCCATGTGAAGCGTCTGCAGCGGAGCCTCTGTCGGAGGAAACTCGGAGGAGTGAGGAGCGGCGCGCTGCCGCCCCTCGACGCAGGGAACGCAGGTAGGGGCAGGCCCCGGGGGAAGGGGAGGGAGGGACCGGGGGAGACCAGAGGCAAGGACACGGGAGGCCATGCCTCGGAGACGAGGCAGGGAAGGGTGACCAAGGCGGTGGTGCCAAAGGAGAGTCTGGTGGGACAGGAGACGACACGAGCAGGGGGCAGACTCAGGACCGGACCTGGACGCTGCAGCAAACACCTGACCCAACGCAGCTACCTGACCAGACGTAGGAACCAGAGGAGACTCGGTAGACAGTGTGTACAGGCTCGACCCCGGCTGACGGGTAAACGTGGCCAAGTGTCGGCCCGTCCGAGCACACGTACAGTGGGTCACTCGCTGACTCGCAGGAGTGAACTGGTCAACCCCCCCATCCTGTAGGTCAGCACCACTCACCAAGTTCGTAGAGAACGAGGGGAGGTAAAGACCTGACAGGGTGCCAGAAGGGACCGCCGGACACGGTAGGACAGTGGAGAAGTGGGCAAGGACAGGACCCCCAGAGGGGTCTGCCAGGGAGACTGCAACCGGCCGACTAAGCGGCGTGAGTGTGGTGCGGTCTCGAAAGAAGGAGCGGGAAGCACCCGAGTCAAGGGTGAAGGTGTGCAAAACCTGAGCCGACGTGGTACCTGAGAGAGCAGACTCACCAGCACCTGGAGCAGCAGACTCACCAGCACCTGGAGCAGCAGACTCACTAGCACCTAGAGCAGCAGCCTCAATGCCCGGGTCAGGCGGAACACACAGGTAACAGTCACCCTCATCACTAGTAGACACAACATACATGGCAGCAAGAATAGCATCATAATCAATATCAAAGATAGCAACCCCCAACCTAAGCAGCTTGCCCCAGCGAGGGATCTCAGTGGCGTCAGGGAACTGGAGACGCCAGGCGTCCGTCAGGCGGCCGAAGCAGCGCTGGGTGGCGTGCGGGCCGCCGCACGGCTCACCAGTGCGGTCGCCGGCACGCAGGACGTAGGCACAGGGACCAGCACCCCCACCCCGCTGACGCGCAGCGTACCACTCACGAAGCTGCTGGGGGGGCGAGGTCTCACGAGCGCGCTGCTGCTGCATGCGCTGACCACCACCGAAGCCTCCCCGCTGCACAGAGCCACCCCGACCAGCTCCACCGCCGCTGCCGCCACCGCCGCCACCGCCGCCTGAAAGAAGCCGTCCTGCTCTAAGTGACGCCACAGAATTAACTTGGCGAGTTAGAGGCAGAGCCTAGGATCAATCCGACGGGCTCGGATCAAGGAATCCGTAGCAACTTAGATCACTGAAATCGCCCAAGTAACGAGAGAGCAATTGTATATTATGCAAGAGTGGGTACACAAGTCGTCAATGGAATGAACTCTCTGTTTTGCTCTCTGGATTTATAACTAAAACACACATGCAGAAATGTAACATCGAACCGCGCGCGACTCGCCAGAAATTCGGACTGAGGATCGCGTCCAATTTCCGCGACGTCCGCGTTCACATTTTCGGACTTCGCCGGGTTCGTTTCTTCACGCCGACAATCGTGTGTTACAAGGAACAATAGCGAGTGTAGCGAAATGTTCGTAACATTCGCTTGCACTCTCACTATTTTCGTGCATGCTTGTGGGGCTGCCAAGTGTCGCCCTCACAAAAGTTCGGACCCAACCGAGGGAAGTTCGGTTGCGTGGCGACGCGGACAATCCGCCGTCACCCCAACCTTCCAAGAACGAACCCTCCCTTGGTCCGAGTCAAGGGAGGTCTTCGCTTGGGGGGCAATCCCGTCCCCCACACTTCCAACACTCCCCCTTGCACCCCACGCACACCTAAGCATGCAAGCCTACCCTAGCACAACATGCATGAAGAGCATCTCTAGGCAATGGCTTGGTGAGGAAGTCCGCGGGTTGCGAGTTGGTCTTGATGTAACGAAGTTCGACTTCGTTGTCTTCAACGAGCTTACGAATGAAGTGTTGACGGATTTGAATATGCTTGGTCCTTCCGTGAAGGACCGAGTTCTTGGCTAGGCCAATGGCGGCTTGGTTGTCCACGTAGATGGGAGTGGGACCTTCTTGTTTGTGTCCAAGCTCGGCAAGAAGGCGACGTAACCAAACCGCTTCCGTACCACCACGCGTGAGCGCCACGTATTCCGCTTCGGTGGAGCTAAGTGCAATCAAGTTTTGGCGCTTGCTTTGCCAACTTATTGCACCGCCCACGAGGGTGAAGATATAGCCCGAAGTGCTTTGGCGGGTTGAAGGATCTCCCGCCCAATCCGCATCCGTGTAGCCTTGTAGCACCATGGGTCCCTTCTCGTAGTGCAACCCCATACGAGTGGTCCCCTTGATGTAGCGAAGGAGACGTCGTGACGCTCGCACATGCTCGATCATGGGGTTGGAGACGACACGTCCAAGCACTCCAACGGGAAAGGAGAGGTCGGGTCGAGTGCTCACCGCGGCATACATGCATGACCCAACAACCGAGTGGAAGGCCTTGGCGCTCTCGGGATCCATCGGGTTCTCGTCGCTTACGGCCGAGGGATGAAACGCCGCTTCCATGGGTGTCGGTGTAGGCTTGCTCTCGATCATGCCGAAGCGATCCACCACACTCTCCAAGTACTTGTGTTGGTGGAGAGCGAGAGTCTTGTTCCCGCGATCACGATCGATGTGCATCCCTAGGTAGTGGGAGACGGCGCCGAGGTCACGCATGGAGAATTCGGCGGCAAGCTTCGTCTTCACGTCCGCTACAAGGGTCTTGGAATCCGACACGAGGAGAAGGTCGTCGACGTAGAGGAGAAGAACGAGCTTCTTCTCATCCTTGTTGAGCACGTAGAGCGCGTGGTCACACTCGCTCCGCACGAACCCCAATGAGAGCAAGTGTTCGTCGATCCTCGTGTACCACGCACGAGGGCTTTGCTTGAGGCCGTAGATCGTGCGCTTGAGCTTGCACACGCGGTCGGAGTCGTCGTCGAACCCGGGAGGTTGCTTCATGTACACCTCCTCCTTGAGACGACCGTAGAGAAACGCCGTCTTCACGTCGAGTTGTTCCACCTCCAAGTCGAGTGCTCCCGCCAACGCCAAGAGAGTGCGCAAGGTGGCGGACTTGGCGACGGGAGCGAACGTCTCGTTGTAGTGAAGATCAGTCAAAAGCGCCCAGGTTCAGTGCACCTGGACAGGACGAGCGGAGGAGGACGGGTGGCAGGGAGAGCTCGGGCCAAGCAGGGGAAGCACGGAAAGAGGTGGGACGAGAAGAGGGTGTGAGGGCCAGCAATACACGGGTTCCCATCTCAAGGGGAAGAAACGGGATTTCGAAAGCTGCCGCTGCTGCTCCTGCTGCTCCTGCCGCTGCTGCTGCTGCTGGTGGAATTTCAGGCGGTGAAAATTCAGGTAATGGGGTATCAGCAGGTAAAATTTCAGGAGGTGGGGGCAGTGGTAAGTCCAGGCACAGGCAATGCCAGTCGTTTTCTGACTTTGACTTTGGGTTGATTGAACCTGGACAGAGAGATTTTGAGGCGCAGCCACAAGATTCCAGGTTCGGTGTACCTGGAAAGGACGAGAGGAGGAAGGCGGGTGGCAGGGAAAAGTCGGGCCTAGAGGGGGAAGCACGGAAAGACAGGGTGGGACGGGAAGAGGGTGTGAGGACCAGCAAAGCACGGTTTGCCATTCCAAAGGCAAACACTGGGGGTTATCTGGCTGCTGCTGCTTCTGCCGCTGCTAGTGGTGGTGCTGGTGGGGATTCACGCGGTGGGTTGTCAGCAGGTGGAATTTCAGGTGGTGGCGGCAGTGGCAAGCCCAGGCACAGGCAATGCCAGTCGTTTTCCGACTTTGACTTTGGGTTGATAGCAAATGGGCAGACGGGTTTTGAGGATCAGCCAAAAGAGGTCAGGTTCAATGTATTTGGACAGGAAGAGAGAGTGAAAAAGAGCGGTGGGGTAAAGGAAGGGCAAGAGAGGGGAGCACGGAAAGAGGGGGTGGGACGAGAAGAGGGTGTGCGGACCAGCAAAGCACGGTTTGCCATCCCAAGGGGGAGCACTGGGGTTTCTGTGGCTGCTGCTGCTTCTGGTGATTCTGCTGGTGGTGGTGGGGTTTCAGGCGGTGCGGATTCAGGTGATGGGGTATCAGCAGGTGAAATTTCAGGAGGTGGGGGCAGTGGTAAGTCCAGGCACAGGCAGTGCCAATCGTTTTCCGGCCTTGACTTTGGCTTGAACGCGTGGGATATGGGGGACGGCAGGGAGGGAGGGAAAGGAGAAGGGATAGCGAGCAGAGGGGGTAGAGAGGAGGGCTTGAGTGTGTGGGAGAGAAGGAACCAGGGAGAGAGAGAGGAGGAAGGGGGTTTGTCACTTAGAGTAGCGAAGTTTGCAGTTGGGGTGAAGGGAAGGGGAGGAGAGAGAAGGGGGGATGGAGGAAGGAGGGGAGGGAGAGGAGGAGGGGAGCTTGCAAGCTTGCTGTCACCACGAGCAGTGCCGATTGCTTCTGGGGTGAAGGGAGGGGGAGCAGAAATAGAGACGGATGGAGGAGGGAGAAGAGGAGTGGAAGAAGGTCGAAGGGAGAAGGATGGGAAAGGGAATGGGCAAGAAGGGGTGGGAAGGGAAGGAGGACAGGGCAACGGAGGGAAGGGAAAGGTAGATGAGGTGCGGCGAGTGGCAGTCGGTGGCGGCAGCAGCAGCAGCAGCAGCAGAGGCACAGGCGTTGGCAGGAGCATCGGTACGGTCACTGGTGGGAGTTTGGATAGGATTAGGGACGGAGATAGCTTGAGCAAGGACATGAGCAAGAATATCGGTAGGAGTACCAGCTATGGGTCTGGCAGCCTTGCCACATCCTACCGCACCGGTGTCAAATCCCCCACCGGTATCAATTCCCCCACCGGAATCAAATCTTCCACAGGTGCCAAATCTCCCACCGGGATCAAATCTCCCACTGGGATCAAATCTCCCACCAGAGGAGCGGAGGGTATAGGGGTACCCAAGTCCCCAAGGGGGGCGGGCAGGAGGGACATCGTAGCTTGGACTCCTCCCATTCAAGGCCTTCTCAGCAAAAGCCTCAACTCCCCAACTCTAAGCAACGCAGACGCGGCAGGAAGGGAAGGAGCAGGAGGAGGGACTGGAGCTCCCAAGTCCCCAAGAGGGGCGAGCAGGAGGGACATCGTAGCTTGGACTCCTCCCATTCAAGGCCTTCTCAGCAAAAGCCTCAACTCCCCACGGGCAGCCGGAGGGGACACAGCGGCACCCAAGTCCCCTCGAGGAGGAGGAGGAGGAGGAGGAGGAGGAGGAGGAGGAGGAGGAGGAGGAGGAGGAGGAGGAGGAGGAGGAGGAGGAGGAGGAGGAGGAGGAGGAGGAGGAGGAGGAGGAGGAGGAGGAGGGCTGTCAGCACGAGGAAAAGCAGCAGCCGCAGCAGCGGAAGCAGCAGGGGCAGCAGCAGGGGCAGCAGCAGGAGGGGACACAGGCGTACCCAAGTTGCCTGGAGAGGTGGCTGTGAAGGGAGGGAGTGGGAAGGAAGCAGCAGCAGAGGCGATGGCGAGACACAACGAGGCCCTGCGCTTGAAACGAGCGGCGCAGGCTCAGGCCGCTGCTTCCGCTTCTGCTAATGCTGCTGATGATTCTGCTACTAATTCTGCTGCTAATTCTGCTGCTAATTCTGCTGCTAGTTTTGCTGCTTCTGCTGCTGATGCCAGTGCAAACGGTGTTGCTGCTGCAAAGGCCACGGCAACAGCAGCAGCAGAGTCAGCAGCCAGAGCAGTAACGGCAGCAGCAGCAGCGGCAGCAGCAGCAATTCCTGCTTCACCAGCGGAGGCAGCCCCAGCCTACCTCCCCAACCCCCTCTCGCAGCTTCCTGGAACCTTCTCTGCAGTTTCTCACCTGCTGCATTCATCTGGCCTTAGCGCGTGGCTCTCTCCCGGAGCTAGCCCTGCAGGTTCGGCCGCTCACACTCCTGCAGGTTCGGCAACTCACACTCCTGCTGCATCTGATGATGAGAGTAGCCCCCGCAAGCATCGGCCTGCTAGGCTTGGCCGGATGGGAGATCACCAGCAGCAGCAGCAGCAGCAGCAGGGGCAGCAGGGGCAGCAGCAGGGGCAGCAGCAGCAGAGGCAGCAGAGGCAGCAGGGACAGCAGCAGCTGGGGGAGCAGGTACAGGGGAAAATAGGTGTAGCGAATCAAAGGGTGCTGGCCTCTGGAGGGCTGGGATTCGGAGGAGTGAGAGGTCGGGCACGGGTGGCCCGGCCGAACCTGGAGAGCGTGCAAGCATCGTGGGTGCATGATGATCCCGAGGACGATCCTGAGTATTCTGGTTGGGGGGCGACTCCCAAGGGAGGGAAGGCAGCAGCAACAGGCTTCTGAGGCAGGAGCAGCGGGGTTTTGAGGCCTGCCCCTCGTGCCTCAGATGGCGCCGTGGGTACATGATGATCCCGAGGACGACCCTGACTATGCTGGTTGGGGGGCGACGCCTAAAGGAGGGAAGGCAGCAGCACCAGGCTTCTGAGGGAGCAGCAGGGCAGCAGCAGTATTCTGGCTGGGGTGCCACTCCCAAGGGAGGAAAATCAATAGCAGCAGGGGGCTTCTGAAGCAGAAGTAGCAGCAGCAGCGGAAGCAGAAGGTACAGCAGCCGTAGGTTCTAATATGTTTCACAGCTCGGGGTGGCCCGGCTGAACCTGGAGAGCGTGCAGGCGTCGTGGGTGCATGATGACCCCGAGGACGACCCTGAGTATGCTGGTTGGGGTGCCACTCCTAAAGGAGGGAAGGCAGCTGCTGCGGGGTTTTGAGGCAGCAACAGGGGCAGCAGGGGCAGCAGCAAGAGCAGCAGGGGCAGCAGGGGCAACAGCAGCAACAGCAGCAGCAGCAGGGGCAGCAGCAGGGGCAGCAGCAAGAGCAGCAGCAGGTTTTGAGAAGGTTGACAGCTTGGAGTGGCCCAGCCGAACCTGGAGAGCGTGCAGGCGCCATGCGTGCATGCATGATCCTGGGGCGGGGACGACCCTGAGTATTCCAGTTGGGGTGCCATCCCCAAGGGAGGGAGGGAAAGCAGCAGCAGCAGCAGGCTTCTGAGGGAGCAGCAGGTTTTCTGATGCTGGGAGACAGCTGGGAGTGGCCCAGGGTGCACCTGGAGGGCATGCAGGCGTGGTAGGGTGGGTGCATGAAGCCCCTGAGGATGGCACTGAGGATGGCACTGAGGATGACACTGAGGATGGCACTGAGGATGACACTGAGGATGGCACTGAGGATGACACTGAGGATGGCACTGAGGATGGCACTGAGGATGACACTGAGGATGGCACTGAGGATGACACTGAGGATAGCACTGAGGATGACACTGAGGATGGCACTGAGGATGACACTGAGGATGACACTGAGGATGACACTGAGGATGACACTGAGGATGACACTGAGGATGGCACGGAGGATGACACTGAGGATGACACTGAGGATGACACTGAGGATGACACTGAGGATGGCACTGAGGATGACACTGAGGATGGCACTGAGGATGACACTGAGGATGACACTGAGGATGACACTGAGGATGGCACTGAGGATGACACTGAGGATGGCACTGAGGATGGCACTGAGGATGACACTGAGGATGGCACTGAGGATGACACTGAGGATGACACTGAGGATGACACTGAGGATGGCACTGAGGATGACACTGAGGATGGCACTGAGGATGACACTGAGGATGGCACTGAGGATGACACTGAGGATGACACTGAGGATGGCACTGAGGATGACTGAGGATGGCACTGAGGATGACACTGAGGATGGCACTGAGGATGGCACTGAGGATGGCACTGAGGATGGCACTGAGGATGGCACTGAGGATGACACTGAGGATGACACTGAGGATGGCACTGAGGATGACACTGAGGATGGCACTGAGGATGACACTGAGGATGACACTGAGGATGACCCCGGGACCTTTTCTGGACTACGAGCCTTGTGTTCCACCTGTTTACTTGGGGGCCCGTCTCTTTAGAATAAATCATGTAAGACCCTGCCCCTTCCATGAAAAAGGTGTTTTAATAACTTTTTTGAATTATTTTGTTACAACTAGAATATGACATTCTAAACGGTACTCTATGTTAGATGTCATTCCTCCACTACCTACACTACCTCCTGCACTACCTACTCATTGTTAGAGACCATGGCGCCTATCTCTTCGTCCTCCTAGTCGCCAGTAGCGTTGAGTCGGTTGACCCACTCCTCAGTCTCTTAAGGGGCGTGCATATCGTCATGCACCTCCACCTGCGTCGCGACGTCGTCTCTGTGGTGGCAGGCGGCAGGCTAAGTATCCCGACATGGAGTGGTTGGTGTACAAACAGTTCCTAGAAGATCGCGCGCGTGGTCTTGCTGTCCCGATGAAATTCCTGCAGTTGTGGAGCCGAGCTTCGATTAAGCACCACCACCCCGAGGTAGATTGGCGCGCCTCTGCATACTGGATGCAGCGCTTCCGACACAGGGGGGTCTCAATGTTCGCGCGAAGACCAAGATTGGGGAATGTCTTGCGAAGGGTAAGCGACAATTTCATTGTTTCAATCTTGTCTCGTAATCTTATTCTAACTGACGTGTTTCCTCTTGCCTTCGCGTACTATAAGAAAATTTGCGGGAGATCTGGAAGTTTGTGCGCAAGCAAGTCGTTGAACACGGCATCAACGACCAGAACATGGTCAACGCCGACCAAACTCCAGTTTTCCTTGAAATGCCCTACGAGCGTACTCTATACCACCGTAGGGAACGCACCGTTCAAATCCGCAGCGCTGGCTATGAGAAGGAGCGGATGACGGTGATGCTGGGTGTGACTGGCGATGGTCGCAAGCTGCCACCGATAGTAATCTTCAAGCGGAATACCATCCCGAAAGTCCGAGTGCCACCAGGTAAAGGATGGCTTCTTACTGCTTGATGTGATGTCCCGGTTTATTCGTTTTAGTACCGTACTAACACTTTGCCTTGTCTGTGTAGGCATGTGGTGCGCGCCCAGGAACGCTGCTGGATGCCAGCCTTGTCATGGACTGGGTGCGCGCAAGTTCTTCTTCCCCACACCAACCACCCCCTTCCTCCCCCCCCCCCCCCCCCCCCGGCAAAAACCGGTCTAAGACCTTATTGTTCTTAGACAGTTATCGTGGGCATCTGACGGAGGGGTTCCTAACAACTCTGAGGTGGTAGCGCATCGTCCCCACCATCACCCCAAGAAGTTTGCACTCCTCTTCTGCAGCCGCTGGGCATCGCCATCAATCGGATGTTCAAGGCGCGCATCCGCGAACTCTACAACGCCTGGTTCGCCTCTGTCGGTATAGGCGGGATTATCCGACTATGGCAATCTAACGCATGTTCAAGTGTGTGCGCAGGGAACCTGAAGAAGCTGTCGTTCGACCTCATTCTTCAGTGTATCGCTGAAGTGTGGGAGGGATTCCCGGCGAAGACGATCGAGCGCTCGTTCAAGACCTGCGGGATCAGCAACCGTCCCGACGGCCAGGAAGACCACGCCATCATGCCTGACGCATTATTAATTTGATCCACCGTAGATGATGCACATGTACGGGGTTGTTAAGTTATGAACAATGGAATTATGAGTATAGTAAGGGGTAGGGGTACAAGTACTACGGTAGTGTCGAGCAATATGTTGTACCCTATGCAGGAACCTCACTACAGCCTAGCACTACTTACTAATAAAATTAACAGTTGACACTCCCCCATAGGCTTAGTGAAGGGCATCAAAATAAGCAAGGCAAACAAATGGTCACAAGACCAGTAAAGAGAAGCAACAACGCAAAACTCATGATGGATCAAGAAATCACTACACAATCTAAGTACAAGCAAGAGGCCACAAGACCAGTTCAAGAGGTTACAAATATATTTGAATACGAAGACAAGCAGAGTAAGAAATAAGAGGCAAGACTGCAGTAACCGAGGGCCTATCTCAACAAGGCATAGCTGCAGACAGAACCTATGGTGGTCACCAAGCTGAAGGGCCTTTGTGAAGATGTCTGTAGTGTTGGCCGTGGAGGCAACAAAGTCCAAGCGTGCCTGGCCGTATCGTTGCAGCTCTCGCAGTAGAAAGTACCTCACGTCGATCTGCTTCACTCTGCCCTCCAGCCGAGGCTCTTGACAAAAGAGGAGCATGACCTTGTTGTCAACGAATAAGGTCGGTGCAGAGCAAGGCCGCTCACCAAGGTCGGTGAACAAAAAGGTCAACCAGCGAAGCCCCGACGCAACCATGGCACTGGCGTAGATCTCGGCATCAACTCTAGACTACGCCACAGACGACGACCGAGTAGAACTCCACGGCACAACTCCAGACCACAAGCTGAAGCAATAACTTTGAGTAGACTACGATCATTCCACGCCGTCGGCGTAGGAAGAGTTGCAGTGACCAGTCAGTACAACTGGTTGTGTCCCTCTAAGCACAAGCCCCACGCTTGATGTAGTCGCCAGGTACTTTGTCACCCTCGTAGCGGCCGTCCAGTGCACAGGTCGGTGTCTCCCAGTCGCAACAAAGCGAACCAGGACACTGAGAGGATAAGCGAGGTCCGGATAAGTACATGTAATCAGGTATATGAGGCAACCCACAAGCTTTACGTAGGGACCTCTAGACTCAAATAGCTCGTCAGGAAGAGCGGTGAGTCCGTGGTCAACGGCAAGTGGAGTGGGTTGTGTGGTGGAGAACTGAAGCCCGAACCGCTGAAGGATCTGCTGCACCATGTGTGACTGAGTCGGTGTGATGGTGCGAGCGGCTCTGTCCCTGGTGATCTGCAAGCCAAGGTAGCGGCGCAGTTCACCAAAGTCAGTGCAAGTTTGTCTCTTCTGCAGTTCGGACTTCACGAAAGCCAGAGCAACATTATCTGTTGTAGCGAAGACCAATTCATCGACGTAGACGAGGACGAAGAAATGTGTGGGCCCTTAACGAACGAACAGCGACGGGTCGCCGGTAGAAGGTCTGAATCCAAGGTCAGCAAGTGTGGAGCAAAAAGTCTCATGACACTCACGAGGAGGTCTGGCTGCACCGTCTTAAGGGGAATGATGAGTATAGTAAAGGGTAGGGGTACAAGTACTATGGTAGTGTTGAGCAATATGTTGTACCCTATGCAGTGAACCTCACTATAGCTTAGCACTACTAACTTAGAAATATATCATTTGACAGGGGTTCACATATGTTGCGGCGTTGGGAAGCTGCCTTGCTGCTACGTTGGCAAGCCGCATCGGTGCAGCGTTGGCAAGCCGCCTAGCTGCTAGGTGACAACAATGCTGCTGGGTGTGTTGCACACCTTCCGTAGTATATCGCCTTTGCCTTGCATTGTATCGTTGTTCATTCTTCTTCCAAACAAAACACTTGTCAAATCTTTCGACAGAATCAACGAATACGTACGAGCAAACACAGCGCTACGATACGATTAACCCTTTCGCCTCCCACGTAGTCTACTCCCATTGCAGGACAAACTCTCTGCAAGTGCCCCCGCAGCTAGCACACTCAGGATATTATCCTCAGAATCGTCATGCACCCACAACGCCTGCACGCTCTCCAGGTTCGGCCGGATCACCCATGCCCTTCAATCCTGATCCCAGCCCTCGGGAACCCAGCCCCCTTTGGTTCGCTCCGCCTATTCTCCCCTGTACCTGCTCCCCCAGCTGCTGCTGCTGTTGCCCTTGCTGACCCTGCTGCTGCTGCCTCTGCTGCTGCTGTGACTGCTGCTGCTCCTCCCCCTGCTGCTGCTGCTGCTGCTGCTGCCCCTGCTGCTGCTGCCCCTGCTTCTGCTGATCTCCAATTCGGCCAAGCCTCGCATGCCGCTGCTTGCGAGGACTGCTATCATCATCAGACGTAGCAGGAGTGTGAGTAACCGAACCAGCAACCGAACCAGCAGGAGTGTGAGTAGCCGAACCAGCAACCGAACCCGCAGGAGTGTGAGCAGCCGAACCAGCCGGGCTAGCTGCGGGAGAGAGCCACGAGCCGAACCCAGATGAATGCAGCAGGTGAGAAACTGCTGAAGGTTCCGGGAAGCTGCGAGAGAGGGTTGGGGAGGTAGGCCGGGGCTGTCAGCTGGTGAGGCAGGGGTTGCTGCTGCTGCCACTGCTGCTCTGGTTGCAGCAGCAACACACTTTTCACTGGAATCAGCAGCAGAAGCAGCAGAAGCAGCTGCCTTAGCAGCAGAAGCAATTGCGTTAGCAGCGGCAGCATTAGCAGCAAAAGCAGCAGCATTAGCAGCAGAAGCAGACGCAGCGGGCTCAGCTTGAGCTGCTCATTTCACGCGCTCGCTTTAAGCTTGCGCGCAGGGCCTCGTTGTGTCTCCTTTTGAGTCGACTCAATTGCAGGCTCAGCGTGAGCCGCTCGTTTCGCGTTTTGAGTCGACTCAAAACACGGCTCAGCGTGAGCCGCTCGTTTCGCGCGCTCGCTTCAAGCGCAGGGCCTCATTGTGTCTCGCCATTGCCTCGGCTGCTGCCTCTTTCTGCCCACTTCCCCTCACCATCCCCCCTCGAGTAGACTTGGGTACCCCCGTGTCCCCTCCTGCTGCGCCCCCTGCTCCTGCTGCTCCTGTTGCTTCCCCTGCTGCAGCTGCTGATACTCGTATCACCAACCTTCCTCCTCCTCCCCCTCCTCCTCCTCCTCCTCCTCCTCCTCCTCCTCCTCCTCCTCCTCCTCCTCCTCCTCCTCCTCCTCCTCCTCCTCCTCCTCCTCCTCCTCCTCCTCCTCTTAGGCTTAGAACTGCAATGCTTGGTTTCGCAGGGTTGAAGCTTCTGCTGAGGAGGCCTTGAGTGGGGGGCTTCCAAGTTACCATGTCTGTCCTGCCTGCCTCTCCAGGAGACTTGAGCACCCCTCTAGGGGACTTGGGAACCCCTGTTCCCCCTCCTCCTCCCCCTCCTTCCATTTTCCGTCCTGCTGTTCCCCCTTCAATACCAGTGGGAGATTTTATACCGGTGGGAGATTTGGCACCGGTGGGAGATTTGACACCGGAGGGAGATTTGATACCGGTGGGAGATTTGATACCGGTGGGAGATTTGACACCGGTGGAAGATTTTATACCAGTGGGAGATTCGGTACCGGTGGGAGATTTGGTACCGGTGGGAGATTTGTTACCGGTGGGAGATTTGATACCAGTGGGATATTTGATACTGACGGGATAAGATCGGCCACTGCTGCTGGTAGATATGGAGATGCTTCCAGACCCATAGCTGCTACTCCTAACCACACTCTTGCTCATATCCTTGCTCAAGCTATCTCCTCCCGAAATCAAATCCAGACTCCCACCAGTGCCCATATCTATACTCATACCTCTTCTCCTTCCAACTCCTGTGCCTCTGCTGCTTCTGCTGCTGCTGCCGCCTCCGATTACTGCCACTCGCCTCACCTCATCGACCACTCCCTTCCCTCCATTGCCCTCTCCTCCTTTCCTTCCCCTCCCTTCTTGCATTCTACCTTTCCCATACTCCTCCCCCCTCTGACCATCCACTCCTCTCCCTCCCTTCCCTCCTCCATCCACCTCTCTTTCTCCCTCTCCTCCTTCCACTCTAGAAGCAAACGACACAGTTGACTTTTGAGTCGAGTCAAAAGTCAACCCCTCCTCCTCTCCTCCTTTCACTCTAGAAGCAAATGACAAAGTTTTTGGCGACAGCAACCCCCTCTCCTCTCCCCCTCCCCCTCCCCTCCTTGACCCACCCCCCTCTCTCTCACCTTCCCCTTCCCCTCCCTTAACCCCAGAAGCAAACGACACTAGTCCCCCAATCTCCCCTCCCCTTCCTCCCCTCCCTCCTCCATCCCTCCCTCTCCCTCCTTCCCCCGTCATCCCAGCCGCAAACGATGCTACTGTAAGCGACACTCCCCCTCCCTCCTCTCCTCCACCTCCCCTCCCTCTCTCCCCCCCATTCCTCCTCTCCCACAGACTCAAGCCCTCCTCTCTACGCCCTCTGCCCGCTATATCCACTCCTCTCCCTCCCGCCCTCCCGTCCCCCATATCCCACGCACTCAAGCCAGATTCAAAGCCGGAAAACGACTGGCACTGCCTGTGCTGCCTGTGCCTGGACTTACCACTGCCCCCACTACCTGAAATTTCACCTGATGATACCCTACCACATGAAACCCCATCACCGCAAGCAGCAGCAGCAGCAGCAGCAGCAGCAGCAGCAGCAGCAGGAGCAGCAGAAGCCACTGAACCCCCAGTGTTTCCCCTGGGGATGGGAACCCGTGCATTGCTGGTCCTCGCACCCTCTTCCTGTCCCATCTCCTCTTCCCGTCCATTGAACCTGTTCCATTTCTGTTGCACTACTCCCCCTGTTTGCCCTGAATATTCCCTGCCACCCGCCTTCCCCCTCTCGTCTTCTCCAGGTACATTGAACCTGACCACTTTAGGCTGCGCCTCAAACATCGTCTGTCCAGGTACATTGAACCTGGACTGTTTTGGCTGTGCCTCAAGAAACATCTGTCCAGGTGCAGTTGAGCCAAAGTCAAAGCCGGAAAACGACTGGCACTGCCTGTGCCTGGGAACCCCAGCGTTCCCCCTTGGGATGGCAAGTCGTGCAGCGTTCCCCGTTGGGAGAAGAGGGGAAGAAAGGGTGGTGGAGCCACTTGCAAGTCGTGCAGCTTTCTCTGGCCCCTCCTTTGCCCCGCCACCCTTTCTTCCCCTCTTCTCCTCTCCAGGTTCATTGAACCTGGACCCTTTTGGCTGTGCCGCAAAGACCGACTGCTCAGGTACATTGAACCTGGACTTTTTTGGCTGGTCGGGTGGTGGGGACAGGGAGACAAGAGAGCTGGACGGGGAAAGGGCGCCCACAGGAGTAGCAATTGGAGTGAACTCATCCTCCTCATCGTCTTCCTCCTCTTCCTCCTCTTCCTCCTCGTCCTCCTCCTCTTCTCCTTCCTCCTCTGCGTTCCTTCTCCGAAGAAGCACAGGCGAGCTGGACGGGGAAAGGGCGGCGGTCGCAGGAGTTGCAACAGGCGTGGCGATAGGAGTAAGCTCATCCCCATCATCCTCCTCCTCCCCCTCCTGAATTTTGGGTCCACTCAAAAGTCTGGGCGTGGCAATCGGAGTAAACTCATCACCCTCTTCCTCACCCTCTTCCTCCTGAGTGTTGAGTCCACTCACGAATCTGGGCGTGGCAATTGGAGTAAACTCATCATTATCATCATCATCCTCCTCATCCTCCTCCTCCTCATCCTGCTCCCCCTCGTCCTCCACTTTGTCATCCTCCTCGTCTTGTCTTCCCGGCAGCTCTTGATTTTTTTCAAAAGTGCCATCCACATTTTGGTCGGGATTTACGGCAAAAATTCCATGCCTTTGCCGCACACCCATCCCACTGGTTACCTCCCTGCTCTTCCCTGCTTCTCCTCCTCCTCCTCCTCCTCCTCCTCCTCCTCCTCCTCCTCCTCCTCCTCCTCCTCCTCCTCCTCCACCTCCCCCTCCTTCACCACTAGCCCTCAGCTCCAAGTACCCAGAAAAGGACGAGAAACGCCGCCCCGCTTTACTGCCCCGAGGAACCTCTCTTGGCGTTCCCGAACCTCCGGTACCGAGCCCAACCGCACTTTGCCGATGCCCTGAGGTTCGGGCCGAACGCCCGAGTTTCACACCTCCATCACCTCCATCTGCCAAGCCTATGTCTGCCGAACCTGGGAGTAACGTACCAAACTCAAAGCTGCTGTGGCTTGTGCGTCGAGGTGACTTGTTTGTAGCAGCACTGGTAGGATCAGGAGCAACAGAAGAAACAGCAGCAGAAGCAACAGCAGCAGCGGCAGCAGCAGCAGCAGCAGCAGCAGCAGAAACTGCAGAATTGGCATAAGCAGTAGCAGCAGAACCATCGGCAGCAGATGCAGAATCAGCAGCAAAAACAACTCTTGAACCAGCAGCTGTAACGGCCCCTTTCTTGTCCCCTTTTCCTCCGCCCTCCTCTCTTCTCTCCTTCCTACCTTCACTGAACCAGCTCGAATCTGGACTTAACAGTTCCAATTCACTCCCTTCCTCTTCACTCCCTTCTCTGGGCTCACTACCACCATAACCACCTCCTTCCACAACACCAACATCGGAATCACTCTTACGCCTCTCCATAGACCCTTTTCGTTCACTAGCCCTTGTGTGACTAAAACCCATCCCAACACCTGCACACCTTTCACTATCACCACAACCACCTCCTTCCAAAACACCAACATCAGAATCGCTCCTAGGCTTCTCAATACACCCCTTTCGTTCACTAGCCGATGTACAGCCTAAACCCATCTCAACACCTGCACACCCCCCGCTCCCATTTACCCCACCCTCTTGCCCACCTATCCATGACTTACGAGACATATCAGAAGCCATCCCACGCCCACTCACCCCTATCTGTTGCCCACCCATTCTTGCAATATGAGTAGTCTCTACACCCGCCCCACCCCCATCCATCCCCATCTCAAAGCCCACTGCATCCCCATCCATCCCCATCCTTGCAACGTGAGAGGTATCAAAACCCACCCCAACCCCATCCAGGCTCAGCTTTCGTCTGCCCTTCCAACCCTTTTGAAACAGCGCCCCACGATTTCTGCTGCCCTTCTTGCTGCTAGTACAACTGCTGCCATGGCTGCTGCTGCTGCTTAAGTTGCTGGTGACGCTAGTGCTGCTGCTGCTGCTGCTGAAGGAGGAGGAGGAGGAGGAGGAGGAGGAGGAGGAGGAGGAGGAGGAGGAGGAGGAGGAGGAGGAGGAGGAGGAGGAGGAGGAGGAGGAGGAGGAGGTGGTGGTGGGAACGGAGGAGCTCCAGCTATTGAACGTGCCAAGAACGGGGCTGCTTCTATTGGCCGTGGGAGGGGAGGTAGGGGAGAGAGGAGCAGGCAGGGGGCGAGGGGAACGAAGGAGAGGGGAGGAGAGTGTGGAGGAGAGAGGGGAGGAGAGAGGGGAGGAAAGAGGAGAGGAGAGAGGAGAGGACAGGCGGGGGAAGGGGGAACTGTCAATAGAGGATGAGATAGGGAGAGGTCCAGGTAGCTTGGGAAACGAAGGCTTGGGAATGAGAAGCGATCGCTTTTGACAATTCTCAGAAGCGTCAAGAGAGGAAGAGGCAGGGAGAGGACCAGGTCGCTTGGGAAATGAAGGCTTGGGAATGAGAAGCGATCGCCGCCAATCCATGCCTTTGCTTCTCCCGCTGCTGCTGCTGCTGCTGCTAGTGGAGGTGATGTTAGTGCTGCTAGTGCTGTTGCTTTTGCCATTTCTACTGCAGCTCTGACCTAGCTGGTTCATGTTCTTCTCATCATTCTCCTCTCTCACTCCCTCCTCTCTCATTCCCTCCTCTTTCACTCCCTCCCCCCTGACTTCCTTCTCTATATATGAGCACTCCTCATGCTCACCATTGTCAACCTTATCACCATCACCATCACCATCCCCATCCCTATCACCCCCATCACCATCCCCATCCTCATCACCATCCCCATCACCATCACCACCACCATCACCATCACCATCACCATCAGCATCACCGTCGGACTTTTCAGCCCGCTTTTTCCCCTTTTTGAACAGCTTCTTGAACATTCCTTTCTTTGCCTTCTCGTCATTCGAGATACTTCTGACAGCTCTTGAAGACTTCTCGTCTCCCACTCTCCTTCCACTCCTCCCAGCTTGCCCCTCCTCCGCCCTCCCCTCCCCAACTTCATTCCTCCTCCTCTCCCTCCCCGCCCTTTCCTCCTCCGTTTCCCCCTTCCCCTCCTTCTCCTCCCTACCACTGCTACGAATTTTGAAAGGAGACCTGTCTTTTAACACCGCAGAACTATCCAGAACAAGCAACTTTCTCGTCCTCATCTCTCCTCCTCCCACATCCTCCTCTCTTTCCTCTTCCTTTCCTCTAAGTGTTTTACTTACCAGCCCCAACCCCCTCCTTAAACCACTCTTTCTAAACCTGGACTTGCTCAGTTCTGGCGACCCATACCTTTCACAAGGATCCGATCCGTTATAAGCAGATTCACTACCGCTTTGTGGTGATCCTGACCCGTCAAATGTCGTATCTAGCAATACAGGGGAGGAAGAGGAGCGAGTGTGACAAACACGAGCCGGCGAGCTTCCCTTCGCCTTTCCCCTCTCCTTCTCTCCTCTCTTTTTCCCTCCTCCTCCTCCTCCTCCTCCTCCTCCTCCTCCTCCTCCTCCTCCTCCTCCCTCCTCACTCACACCAGCAGCAGCCAATGCAGCAGCAGCAGCGCCAGGAAGCAGAGTCCCAGCCGCCTTTCTAACCATCTCCTGCGCTCCGTGTGGTTCGGAAAGTGGGACACAAACCACACTGCCTGTCACGTGACACTCCGCGGAGCCGCCACATGTGCGCTCCACCAATCCACGTAGTTGGCTTAGAAGCATTTCCTCCTGTTGATTTTGCTGCACAGGCTGCTGCTGCTGAGGTGGCAGGACGGTAGAACCATGGGCGACTTTCCAGGCTGCATGCGCGCCGTTGATTACGGAGATCGTACGGCTGAGCAGCACAGGCTTGTCCCGAAAGGAAATGGAGCAGGGAAGGTCCACTGGATGGGAGGAAGAGAGGAAAGTGTTGTGAGGTACGAAATGTTAAGCTTAGCCTAGTATTCAAGTATTGCATTGCACAGATAGAAGGGAGCATGCAGTGGTTCAGGTTTCTCAAGTAAGCAGCATTTGTGAAATGGAGATGGAATGGGAAAGACAAAGAGAGAAGGAATTGCATTTGTGTATGATGAATCACTGTACTCATTGAAATGTACTTCCTGCTTCGCGAATCTCGTCAAACTCACGCGGCGACAAGCATCCTCGAAACCTGAGCCACTCGCGAATCTCCTCCAGACTCGTCGCCATGTGATCGTTGCCATCGTCAGATTCCCTTGCATCCCCCTCGTTTCTGTCACCTTCACCGGTTCGACAACCCCCCTCCAAATCAATGTCGCTCGTTACAATCACAGTCCAGTGCGTGTGAAGGTTCGGACTAATCACTAGGAACGCCAGAAGAGCCTTCACCAAATACACCTGCCCCACCTCCGCCCGCGCTCCCCCGATATCCACCACCTCTAGCGGTCCGTGTGCGCTTCCCCCCGTAACGCTTCCGCCAAACGAGCGACTTTCCGCCGATTCCGCCGCGCTTAGCGAGCGTGGAGTCAAGAAGCCGTTTCCGCCGCCGCCGCGGCCACAGCCGTCGCTGTCGCTATCAACACTGATTGTACCATTGTTAGAAGTATCTTCGATATCGAAGCAGCGGCAGGTTTGCGGGAGGAAGCCGACGTTCCATGGAAGGTTGTGATTATAATGACAGGGAAGATCTTTCACTCCGCGCACCCGCAGCGGATGGTGGGGAGGCTCCCCCACCGCCAGCTCCACCTGCGCCCACGTCCCGCACGGAACGGCGCAAACCATGCGGAAGATTCCGCCGTCCGCGGGTGGTCCCGCCGAGTCGGCGGAGGAAACAGTGGAGGAGCAACCACTAGTAGTAAGCGCGGGGCCTGCAGGCGGAGCCGCGCGAAGCGCGGGGAAGAGTGTAACTCCTGCCGAATTCAAGATACTATTGTCTAAGGTGGACGCTATAGTACCGTATTGACGTCTGTCATCGAACCCTGTTTCCGTTGTCGTCGGCGCGGCATTGGAGGCACCGGCGGCGGCGGCGGCGGGGAGGGGGGCGGCGGAGGCGGAGAGGTGCAGCGGTACCTGGTGCCATGGGGAAAGGGGGACGACAACGAGGTCTTGCGCCACTGCTGCTGGCACCGCCGACAGCCCCGGCCGCGAGGAAAGCGGAGAAGCGAACCTTCCGCGCTTCGTCTTCGAAGTATCCTTGGAAGTCTGCGGCGCGGCGAATAGCGGTGCGGACGAAGCGCTGATAATAATACCGCTACCAGCAGCAGGTGGCGACGGGTTTTGCGGCGGGGCGAGACGGGGCGCGCTCAGGAGGAACTTTCTGTATAAGAGCGATCCGGGAGGGCCGGTCTCGACTGCAGCATACTCCATGGCTCAGTGGGACCGCGCCGCGGTTTAGTAACCGCACCGCGTTTTAAGTAAGCGGCATTTTAGCTGTTTCTGGAAATAAATAGTTCTGTGGCGCCTCAAGAATGTGTACATGATGGCCTATTAAATTGTTTCTCTGTCATCTCGATCTGTCATCTCGAAACACGGTACCAGAACTATCCGCAAAACGTGTGAGCTGTGTCAAGCTCAGGTGAACCGAAGACAACCGGTGCGTACTCCCCGACGAAGGCGGATCGCTGCGAGTGAGCAGCTCAGGTCGTTTTACGAATGCGGCTCAGATTACATTAACCACCACTACTACTCGTGAGAACTGAAAAACAACTAAATCAGCCAGACAGCGCGAGCTAGACTTGCACATTGCAAGGTGCAATAGCACCAACTATGGACAGATGACATGCGAACGCGGGACGCAGCTGCAGCAGCTCTCCTGTTGACTCAGCCACTGCAGCAAGAGCTGGCAAGCGAAACCAGACAATCCCGTCGAGTGGAGTGGAGTTTAGAGGCGTTAGTATTATTAGCCAGACTTTAGTTGAGTCGAGTCGAGTGAGAATGAGTGAGGTTTTGCAGCAGTTGGATCAGCCAAACATTTGTTTGGGCGATTGCGAGCAGCCCAAAACAGCACAAAGCGAATATCCTCTTGACCGCTCTCGAAATGAGAGTAACAGACGGAACCGAACCCAATACACGTTAGACCATGCCAAGAATTCGAACCGCCTGACAGCTCCTCAAAGGAGCAGCAGCGTGGTGCAACAGGTTCAGGGTACACCTGCCACAGTTCACATATTATTGTCTATCTTACCGTATTCTCAAAGGCACGAACCGTACATTCTTTCCTTTCTGGACAAAACCGCATAGCCATAAACTGCATTTGTACAATTCTTCTACAAGCTTGGAATGTCCTTCTGACTATATTTCTATTACATGTGTTAATGTCATAAGTTCAAAATTCATTCGAATATAAACTTTGGTTATTATTAGATTCTAATATCACATAATTAAGGCATATATAGTTTATATGATACCCCTATATGAAATAAGGTTAAAAATGTTTTATCATCTATATATTCTTAAACGGATATAATTGTTTTTATTGTATTTATAATATATATATTGTTTCTATC